GGTTGCCAAACCATTATATGAGAATGTCCTATATACCCATATCTAAGATGGGGGGATTATTAAAATTATTTTTAATATTTGTAAACATTGCTTTTTATTCCTTTTATTCAGCTGTTAAGCCATCTCATACAGAAGAGAGATTGTGAAGTTGAAGGCTTTCATGGCTGGCATCCATAGTTTTTTGTGGGTTTTTCGGGCTGTGTGGCCATGTTCTAGAAGAGTTTCTTTCTGATGTTTCGCCAGCATCTATGGCTGGCATCTTTTCCACAGAAGCTGGCAAAACGTCAGAAAGAAACTCTTCTAGAACATGGCCACACAGCCTGAAAAACCCACAAAAAATATAGAAGAGAGATTGTTCTACAGGATCCTCACCTTTATTGAGGGTTTGTGTTTGTTTGTTTGTTTGTTTTGCAATGTGCAGACTTCTTTAATGAAGCAATCTTTTAAAAGCCAAAGAGAGCCAATGGATTAAAATCTAGAATAGACTGAGGGACTTAACTGCAAGGCAAGGGGAAAGATTAACAAAGAGATCAGGCATCCCAAACAAGCAACGGCTCTTGTCTGCCTGCCTAATAAGATAATTTTTTTAAAAATCGGCTGTAATTCTAAACAGCCTTCCTCAGATGCAAATTCTACATACATTGATGTGAGTCCTTTCCATTAAGTGTGGCTAATGTACAATATTTCATTTTATGCCATTTCACCATGGTTGTGATCACCTTACAACCAAATCATGAGCCAGCTTCCCATTCGCTTTAGTGGATCTGGTTTCCACATGTATTAGGGAACCGTACTCAGCCTTCCATCTTTCCATAGGTTGGTAAAATGAGTACCCAGATTGTTGGGGGCAACTGGATTACACATTGTAAACCGCTTAGGGAGTGCTAGTTAGTGCTAGTTAGTTATATGGGGTATAGAAATGTACTTGCTATTGCTATTGCTGTTACCCCCAAGGAAATGTATACAAATTGTCACATGTCCGGGGCAGCAGAAAGGTCAGTTGAGTTATGGGGTAGAGGACATGCCCAACATGAAAAAGCTCAAGGGAGGGTTAGCAATAGCAAAAGACTCCTGAAGGAAATCTGGGACAGTCACTTTCAGCCAGTTTAGACCAGCATCCCCTTAACATGGTGCATATCCTGCAGCTACAATGGACTACAATCCCCATCTTCCTCTGCCAGCATGCTGAGGTTTATGGAGGTTAATGTCAAAATCAGGAGAGTTAGTTTAGTGTAGTAGATTGAGAGAGATTTAGCGCAGCGCAGTGGTTTGAGCATTGGAGTATGACTTTGGAGATCAGGGCTCAGTTCCCCGCTCAGCCATGAAAGCCCACTGGGTGACCTTGAATGAGTCACATATTCTCAGCCCCAGAAAACCCCTAAACCCTCTAAAATCCCTTCTCACATCAGTTGTGCATCCACTGCTAAAGGGGTCAATATATGTGTCTTTATTGAAGCCCAAAGGATTTAGAAAGTCCCAGTTTGTGTGATAGAAGATGGCTAGGGAAAGATTGATTAGTGCTACTTCCATCTTTCTTCTTCTGAAAGACACTGGGGTTTGTTGGTTTATTTGGTGGAGGAGGAGGACACACATGTCAGCCATGTTCAGTAGGTACAGACAGGCAGCATGGCATAGTGGTTTGAGCATTAGACTATTGACTTTGGAGATCAGGGCTCAATTCCCTGCTCAGACATGAAAGCCCACTGAGTGACCTTGGCTGGGTCACACATTCTCAGCCCCAGAAAACCTCTTAGGGTCACTGTAAGTCAGAAATTACTTCAGGGCACACAACAACAGAAGTGGAAAGAGATCTGGCAGCACCTTTGAGCCTGACTGCAGGAAAGAAGTTGGTAGCATAAGCTTCCACAAACTTGAACCTACTTCTTCAGATGGATCTGTGGACAACGTTGATTTGGATTCCAAGACCAGGATTCAAATCCCTGCTGCACCCTGGAAGCCCTTTGGGTGACACTCTCTCAGGTACAATAAGGAAGGCAAGGGGCAAACCTCCTTTGGCAAATGAACCACTAGGAAAGGGTGGCCATAAACTGGATTTGGGGTGAAGGCACACGACACCACATCCTCCACAGCTACCAGGGGTGTAACAAGCTTGTACAAGCGGTGCCGCAATGAACTGCAGTTCCCAGAATTCCATAGCCTTGAGCCATGGCAGTTAAAGGGGTGTTGAACCGGATCATTCCAGCAGTGCGGATGCAGCCTGAGTGTCTAATAAGGTCAAGGCGCCTTTGGAGTGCCCTGATTAAACAAAGGGACAGCGCCCCCTCCGGCCACATCCAGCGTAGCACCCAAACCCAGAGAGAAAGAGGCAGGAGTGCCTCTGATTGGCTGCTCCACCTCCTACATCACAATGTCAGCTGGAGGAGTCGGCTTCCCGGCCAAGCGGCATTCCCAGGCAGGAGCATTGGACTATTATTACTCTGGAGATCAGGGTTCGATTCCTCACTGGAGCATAAAAACTCACTGGGTCACACTCTCTCAGCCTCAGAGGATGGCGATGGCAATGGCAACCCCCCCCCC